CCTGATTAAAAAAGCACTCCTCCGAACGTGGCAGTCTGAATGGGACCAAGAAAGTGAAAATAAGCTCCATGTGGTAAAACCAGGTTTAGGATTGTGGGAGAGTGCATCTCATGAAAATCGCTTTATTGAAGTTCTCCACTGCCGCCTTAGAATTGGACACAGCTTCTTGACACATGGGCATCTCCTTTGTGGAGGGGACACTCCAGTCTGTGAGCACTGTGGCGAATCACTAACGGTCCTTCATATTCTATGGCTCTGTTCTGGTCTTGAGCAAAACCGACGCGCTTGCTTCCCGGAATTTTTCGCATACAATATTCCTTTCCATCCTGCACTCTTAGTGGGTGAGCATCCCATCATTCCCTTTAATCGTGTCATTACGTACCTAGAAAAAAGTGTTTTTTACGTCGATTTTAACTTTCATATCCCTTTTCACCTTCTACCAATAACAAAACTTTTGTTGCAGAGCTGATTTCACAGTGAGCCTTTCAAAACTATTACTCTGAGCAAGATTATTACACCTGTTTGGCGCAGTATGGCCTTCGTCGCTTTTGCGCCAGTAAACCACCAATACAACAACAATACAAAATGTACTAGTCAAAAGCAAACATACACGCAGACTTCTCGAGGTGCAGCTTTTGAATGATATTTTTCCTATCCTCTTGCCCTGTAGTGCATTGTGATACTCCGAGAATCTAATGTTTCAGATCGACGGCCTACTTTCCACGAGTGAAATCAGAACCTCGCACGAAACTGCTACTTCTGCCGCCATTGTTTCAGTTTTTACACTTTTAAGCCGACTTGGCATGCAGTTGGCTGTTGAACAGGAACTGACCGAGCCGTGCTAAACTCTCACATCTATACAAATGAATAAATGTGTAAACTAGAGAAAAGTTTTTCCTAAATCTTAGATGCAACGAGTTCGATTTCTAAGCGACAAGTGGGGGCGTGGGCTTCGGACATAAAGCCAGGTCTTTGTTGAAATCTCGAGAACCTCGCACGCCGCTACGAAGGTCTAGAGGCTCATACGAGCAAGCAATGCAGAGCATGTTGCCAATATGAATGAAATGCAATGGGTTATGTTGACAGACACCGCGGTCTTTTTCTTATTGTGGTGTTTTATTGACCTTCGTTACAGTATCCAAGGAGATACCACCAGCAAAATGTTAACATCACGCAACTATTTACGTAATATTTAAATGAGATCGGCAAGAAAAAACGAGCCTCGTAACAAAAAATATATGTGCGAAAACGAGTTTAGATATTGTCCAAGACACTAATAGACACACACCCTTTTTTTATTTTGCGACGGCATCGATTTAACGACGATGGCAAAGTTGTCTATGATTCGATGACACGGACCTGAGCTTCTTTCTGAACTTTCCACGTCACTGACCCTTCACTGTCGCGCCAATATTCTTGAAAATAGATTTCCCGCGTTGACATCCATGGATCACGACAAAAATCCTTGGAGAAGGGGAACCTTACCTCTCAGCGTTGGAGCACTGCTTCGACCGTCGTCGTTAGACACGCACAGCACTGCTTCACTCAGTCGTCCTTGTTTATGAGCGCCTGTTTGCTTCTAGTTGAGATGGTGATTTCACAACACCTTCCGTGTCAATCCTGGGGCTTCCAATAACGTTGCAAACTAAAACGTTCTCACAAGAGCTTTCGAGCCGCACGCAGCACGGAACCTAAACCGAGACGATCAAACAAATAGTCGCCATATTTGTTCATCCGCCGCTTTCCGCCTGGTGCACCGCACAACATTTTTTAGACCGACCAGGGGTTTCACGCTGGGCACTTAGCGACAAGGCCGGCGATATTTCCGACCGCCATGATTGCCCACCAGCAACACCAAGCGCGGCGCTAGCCAATCGCGACAATGAGGAATCTCGCGAACATTGTCGCCGAGTGTCCAACTAAGGGCCCCAGATTCGAGCAACGCGTCGACGTGAGGTGCATGTCACAGTGAGGTAAGGGACGCCAGCACCGGTTGTTGTGGAAACTGCTGAGCTGCACCCCTTTCCATCGCTTGTGTCCCCTGCTTTAATATTGGCGAAGTCTTCATTCAATACTTTTACTTGATTAATAAAGAACAACATTAATACGTAAAATATTTCTATTGTGCCTAATATTAATTTTATTACAGCGTAATATTTTTGCAACTTACTAACAGATATAAAATATTAAAGTTCGAGAAAAAAACTGAACGAACATGGGTGTTGTAATGGGGGGGGGGGGGGGGGGGGGGGACATGCAGCTTGTACCATGTATATAGCTTTTGTTCCTTATTTTAACAACAATATGTTTTGAAAGCAGTTGTTAGTGTAGTGCGACAATGCAACGGTTGGAGTTGGTAGTAAAAAGATAATTTCACAATATTATAAAAGGCTAGCTGAATTAACTTAGGAAAATAGAGAGAGAAAGAGACAGGCGTACCGCTGTCTCTTTATTTCTTTCTTTATAGTATTATGCACCAACAAGCTCAACTACAGCCTGATAATCTCGCAAGCGTGGGCCTGCGGCGCAGCCGATTTTAGCATTTTCAGTGTTGTCTCATTTGGCCACGGTGGCACTGGTGATAAGACGACCGTGGTGCGCTCTGAAACCCTGCAGAGTGCCCGTGTGTTCTTCTGAATGTTGATTGTGCACAATAAATGGAGGCATTGCAGCGGAGAAGCTGTTGTCGCTGTCGCTGGACATGTCTGTTGTTTTCACTCACTGAAGAACTCGCAAGCAAATCGCCGCCTGAGGTGTATCGCCTGCGGAATACGAGCTACCGTAGTCGCTTGGAACCTCTGCCCTGTAGTCACTTGCTCGGGCGGACGAGTACAGGTCACTGCTTGGTGGAGTCGTCTGGCCCGTGTTACTTGCTTTGTGCTGGGCGTCAACGTCGCTTCACTCCCCGTGTCGTCGTCGATCTGAAGAGTTCATGCATCAGACGCAGAGACAGCAGAGAGCCTGCGTTTTGTGAAACCTGACATCTTGCTGCTCCACACTTGTCCTTATAATGCTTCTTACGAGGCAGGGAGTTTTAGTAGGTCTTAGACTGCGGAAAGCGGGCCCAGTGGGCACCTGCTTCCTCCATCCTTTGAATTGATGGCATGAGCTCCCGCTAGCAAAGCTTTTATCCTATACAGTTTGCCCACTTCCTGGCTTGTTAACACTCGCGGATTCTCAGGACAATCCGCGGGAAAATTAACGCCGGGACAAGAATCCTCTTGCCGACGACGAGATATTAGACTTCAGGAGTGTTTGAAGCGGAACGCATATTTTCAAAACGTGGCTTTTCCAGACCCGCCGCGGAGCGGCGTGCGCTGAATGGCCAGATTCCCGCCGCACAAAATAGTGACGACACGCCGTCAGACGCGAATGCAGTGCCGGTCGCCGGCAAAAATGTCTCCTATGCTCCACCAGATACTTGAGTGTTGTATTGACCTGATGGACGCGCTGTTGTGCAGTTCGCACGCGCTCTTTCATCTGCTGGTGGATATCCATAGAGTTCTGCATATCACGCTCATAAAAGTGGATAGCAGAAGTTTCGAGGCCGCCGATGTCTAAACTCCGGCTGCTCCAACCTTAGCGATTCTCTATACAAGCTCGTATGAATTAAGCCTCGCTGCTGTGCTTTGTAATTCAAACGGTGTACACTTGTAGTGCTACCAAACGTAGTGCTTTTTCAAACATAAAAAAAAAAACACAAAAAAAAACGAGAGCCGTGTATAGCAATTGTGCCGTCCGAGAGTGCAACTGGTGTCTACGCTTTTCCTGTGACTCTTGTCGAAGTAAGGCTTGTCGCCCTACTACGTGCCTGCGTGGCATCCGGAATGCTCTGTGAATGGAACTGCTTCAACTAATTGGCTTTTTTTTTTCTAAATTTGAACGCTATGCATTGTTGTATAATCCACATCAATGCTTCGCAGCTAGATAAACACTTGTCGGTTGCGGAACAAGATTGCCGTGGACTGTTTTTCTTCCTCTGTGGTTTATTGTCCGAAAGTGTTTAGTCGGCCAGTTGTAAATCGCTCGCTATTCAAAGCATCAGAATGGCTCCCAAGCGGCACGTACCCGTCCAGGTTCAAGCTCACCTGTTCAAACCCCTTTCTTCGATTAGAGTAGACTGAGCCGATTCGAACGCTGGGAGAGGTTCAAGATTGGGCCCCTGATGACTAGCCAAGAATATTGTATGTAGTTTACCAGTAGGGTTTCCATGCTAGTAAGTGATCTAGCGTAGAAGAGGGAACGGTTCCTGAATGGCCGAGCGCCTAAGTCATGGTTGAGACGGATGAGGCTAAAGACGGCTCGGTGTCGAAGAAAGCAGGACAACACCAGTAGCTAGTTTATTTTTGATTGTTCCTTTTCACCTTTGCTCGAAAGAAATATATGTTGTCTGTCAAGGTTTGGATCATAATCCATGGCGATTTGTTGGAGGTTAATAGACCATTTTCAGAAGTCCATGGCAACGCCTGTCCGTCAATGCTTGCTCACATACTCCGAGCATATAGCCCGGGAAACTTGCGAATAACCTCTGAACCTGGCTGAAAGAGTTTTTTTTTCTCTCAGGTCGACGCTGTTGTTGAGATGTTCAGTATTTGGATGCTCTGTGTTTGGTAAGGCCACTTTACTAACACTAGCACTGACAACACTGCAGTCGTCATCGCCCTGCAGTGGTGGCGTTGACGAAGGTGTGCCAGGAAAAAAGAGGGGTATGTAGTGGGCCCAGCTTCAAAATTTGGGACAGATTAACTTGTAAGATGCAATCCTCTCGGGCTCAAGATTGAGATGGATGTCATATGAAAAACAAAATGAAAGCCGTTTACAACTCCCTGTAACGCCGAATTGAAGCGCAGCTCTTGAGGAGGAGGGAAGGGTACTGAGGGGAGGGTATATTCCTCCTCCCTCCTCCTCCCTCGTGATCCCGCCTCCTACTCTAGAATGAAAGGGCTCCGGTTTGAAGCCGGCCGAGGGAGAAGAGATAAGAGTCTGATAAAATCATTTTTCTAAGTAATGAAAATTCCGATTCCTCCCCCCTGCTCATCATCCCTGCTTCCCTCTTTTCTCCACCTCCCCTCACAGGGTTCAAGTGATCGTTGAAGAGCATCTGACACATCCAATATGAACTCGAACAGTGTCATTTGCTTTGAGAGCTGAAGTTGCTGCGCGTGTCGCCTGTAGAGGAGCCACGAGTTGATAGCAGTCAAGTTGAGGAAATGAACAAACAGCTTTATGTACCATTTAAAGAAACATGTTGGTATCCTGTAGTATTCGATCAGCTGATCTGCAAGGTCAACGCCCCCCATTGTTTCGTTGTAGGTCTTGACAATCGCTGGGCGAGTAACCAGGATGTGCTTCTTTTCCGAAGCGCTCCACCTTTTGACTTGATCTTCCGGCTCAACTCCTGTGTAGGAGGATGCAAGCTGGACAGCTTTATTGTCCAGCCATCGAACCACAACAACATTCTCAGAGTTTTCGACATTATAGTCGAAGGAGCCTCTTCCTCTCTTTCGGAAGTCTTTTTCGGACTCCAAAACACAGTTCCTCATTTGATTGGCACGGATTCTACCACAGGAAAAGATCCCTCTTCTCTTCAAATCTTCGATAAGCTCAATAGAACAAAACCAGTTATCAAAGGTCCCTTTGAAGTTGCTGGCGTTAGGCAAGCCATCACATAATGCCATGACGATATTGTCACCAAAGCCGAGCTGGTAGTCTTGGCTTTCTTTCAGGGTGTCTGCTCCAATGTACGCCGCAAACTGGTATACAATACCTGAAATACCAGCCCGAACAAAAATCTTAAAACCCCACTTATGGGGTTCATTTTTTTATGTACTGGCGAAGGCTTGATCTTCCCTTGAATGGTGCCCTCTGCTCATCAACACTTTGCGCTTCTTCTGGTGCCACAGCCAAGCATTTTTCCTGCAGTGCATCCAGAAAAGGACGTAGCTTGAAAAGACTGTCAAAGCCCGGGTCTAGTTTTGGCAAGATCTTGCTGTTGTCTGCAGCGTGGAAATACCTTCGGAGCTGTTTGAACCTGTTCTTTGACATCGTCTGAGACACGGGTGTGAACTGCAGCTTCTCATTCCAATAGAAGTGGTACTGCGGGACTGGAATCAGTCCTGTCATCAAAAATATCCCGACAAACTGCTCCCTCTCATCTGCGTCTGTGTTGGTAGACTTCCCACTCTTCTGCACGGAGTAGAGGTTAGTCTGCTCTGCCAAGTGCTCAAACATCTCCCGATCAAAGAACTGTCTCAAATACTGAAAGGGAGTCAGTATCTCGGGTAGTTGGTCCGGAAACGAACTTTTCCACGAAGTGTGAACATCAGGGATTGACCTCTTCTGCCACCAGAATTGTCGTGCCCTCTTTTTTAGTTTCCTTGTAGATGTTGTTTTCGTCCTCTTGTGACCTCCTGTCCTCTGTACTCGTACATCTCAAGTTGATCTTGGTCTGTCAGAACAGTCGCATGAATCGCTGAGGCCACTCTCCTCGTCGCTAGCAGCGCTTGGAAGGAAATTTTCATCATCGCTGTCGGATTCGGTGTGATGATGAATATCTCGTAACAAGGCCTGTGCTTCTGAGGGTTCAGAGTCATCTGGCTCATCGACTGAAGTGTCGGCGGTAAAGATGTCCTCAACGTTTCTGTCGCTAAACCTCAACGAACTGGGTCCTGGTGCCGAGCCATAAAACGTGGCCGAGTCCACCATGGCGAAGGCCAATGATTCCTGCAGGAATCATTGAAACAATGCAGCCTAAGTAGTGCAATATTTGTTTTAAATATATTTAGGATAATATATACTCTATCTTCAATAGGTTAAACGTACCCTCGCAATTTTACAGATCTCTGCGATGCCGCTTACCTTTGCAGTGAAGTCGAAAAGTTCTCCACGTGTACCCAAATTCGTGCAAACGCAAACTTGTGGATGGATGTGCAACCGAACGAGAGCGGCCGCCTAGTGGCGCCATATAGTGGCCAAGTTTAGTACTCCAATACTCCAGGAATCATTGTTCGGGAACGGTATAGGTTTCGGTTTAGCTGTTTACAACCAAAAAATTACGATGTATTGTGATTCCTGTAGGAGTCACTGGATCAGAAAGGGTAAAAAAAGGTTGTCTTTCCTCTGCACTTTTTAACTGTGCCACCTAAAACAACAGGTAAGGAAAAAAGAAAGCTCGTCTTTACTCTGCATTTAAACCGTGCCACCTTAAACAAGTAAGAAAAAAAAAGCGCGTCTTTACTTTGCATTTTTTAACTGTGCTACCTAAAACAACAAGAAAATAAAATCTGGAATGCCAGTACCTTCATTTCTTCCATAAAAAAGGTAATTTAAAAGACCATACGACACTGAAAATTTAAGTAAAAACCTTTCTTTGTCGTTTGGATAAAATCAGTTTCTGAAAACACAAAGCTCTTCTCACTTTGTGCTTGTGTAACTGTCGCCTTAAAGCAACAGAAAAAAAAAGTATGTTGCGCAAGCGGAACAGTCCCGTTTTTTTTTGTTAATTGCATGGCGTACAGCTGTAACGGAAAAAGAGTAGCAAATGTGACCAACGACCGGAGTGGTAAAATCGCGACACACGGTTCTATTTCACCCGAGCGCACCGAAAGCGAGAGTGCCAGTCACACTGCACGTTTCATTGCGGGTGGTCGGCAGAAATTTAAGGGATAAGATAGCTGGGTGATTTCAGATAAGATCGACCAAAGGGTGGCTGGTCGACATATTTAAATCAACTGATGTTTTTATATGACATTGTCTAGTGTCTGGTATAAACGAATCCACACTTAGTTTTGACCAGAAAAAAAATTTGGAGACAAGAAAAATCGTAAGGCAGGGAGAGGTGGACAGTTGCAATAACGCGCACTGATGGAGGGGGCAAGTTTGAAAGTGAATAATTAAAACAATAAAATTAGGAGAATTTTAAAACTTTTTACAAACAAACTATGGGTACAACTTGCTTGTAATATAAAGTAATAATCTTTATTAAAAATTATTTAGTTTTCTAAAAATTGCCAAACATGCCTGCTCGAACGACAAATGGCAAACTTTGGAAATCTGTATCTCATGAAATAATTTAATCATTATTACATAACTTGCAGACATTATTTTACTAATATATGGCTATTATTGAAAAAATAAATAAGGTATCTGAGTGACACAATAGTTACAATATATTTAGGCAAACATGGGAAAAAAATCAAACAAAGAAAAATTCCAATGCGAATAAAAAAGAAAAACACCACCTTCGATTTTTTTTAAATTTGGGTACCCTGTTATACTCTATTTCGGCATTCATTTCTATTAAAAACATGTTGCATCATTGCACTGTGAAAGAAGAAACAATTCCCCAAAGTAGGGTCCTTTTTCAAAGCCTACACTTAGCAGTGTCCTATACAAGAAGTGACTCTGAGTTCCAGTTTCATGAAACTTGCACAAATCTTTTATATACATTTATTCAGATGAGGTCATTGATAAAAAGAGCGATCGGTCACACAGTAAAAGGGAGGAGAACTATATACAGCATTTTACATAAGCGTACAAAGTGGTATCATATTAGAGACTAATGATTTGAGAAAAGGTGATGCAGTGTGAAGTTGTACCTTCCGGTATATTTTACATCTAGAGTAAAATAAATAACTTTACTTCCACACACAAAAACAAAGATATAATAGTAAGATATTTAGGTTGGCTGTGTATTTACGATTACAAACAATTTCAGGTGACGGATGCCATAGTGCCTAACTCAGCTTCGATGCTCTCGGTGTATGAATGAATCGTGGCAAGCCGATATATTTTATCCTGCTCGAGGATAACATTTTGGGATTTTTTTTATAGTGATCAGATAAAAATTATTAGTAACCACCAACAAAAACAGTAGGTTAAATACCCCGTGAAGAAAAATGTGATAAATAAGATGTCCCTGCATTCAAAATGAGCAGTCCTTGGGAAATCAAATTCGGCACTTTACGCTAAGGTTCTCCTCGCTGTACCCATTTAATAAAGTTGCTTCCAAGCAGATCCGACTGTCCGTGCTACATATACGTCACAGGTCCCTTCTGTTGATGACTTGCTGAGCCGCCACGCGTGCCAAGACTGAATGCCAGGGAAGGCGCGCACCGTCAGCCACTCTTCTTTTTTTTGTTCACGATACCGAACAACCTCATTTTCGTCCAGATATACAAGATGCACGCTTTTCAGTTTCTTTGATAGAACGCTCACCATTGTCCTGGTTGTCTGAATTGCGCTTACTGAACGTTCTCTCAGGTTGTTCAGCGTGGCCTGGTGCTTCACGAGTCCGCCAACTCCGTCACATGCATTTTTCCCATGTCCAGATGCAGAAAATAACCACTGGGCTTGTGGGCAATCGTCCTTTGGAAATTGGTGAAGCTGGTAGCGATTCTTGAAATGACTGGCGGCGCCGTCACTTACGTACGTCACGTACGAGTATACCGCAACGTTGTCTTCAACCCACTCCTTCACTTTTTCTAGAGCCAAGCAAGCGTGAGCGGCGTCGTGACACAGGTCCTCACTGATGATGGCAAAGCTGTTTGTAGATTTTCTTGTCGTCACTACACATGTAAATATCGAAACTTGTTTTTTTTTTTCCAGTGATATGCTTGCACTTCGTCAGGAAGCACGATGGTCCAGTTTTCAGCAAAGTCAAAATGAAAGACAATGCTCCCGCGTTGCATGCACTGTTTTTCATCGTAGATCGCTTTACCTTGCGTTTGCCGGATATGGTTGTGAAGTACCCAACTTCCAACCGTCACTTGGATGACTTTTAGGAAAGTCTCCGGTTCCAAAGTTTTTTTCACAAGGTCGCCGGACTCCCATGTTGCAAGCACAATCTCTTCATCCTCCGGGATATCAAGTTCCTGGAGTGTAAGAAACTGGCCTTTTGGGCAGTGATCACAGTCTCCTTGAAGGCACATTTCTGTTGCTGGGTCGCACAGAAATGCCGAGTTCATTTCACCAGTGTTGAATGTTCAGCCTGTAACGTTCTCTAGAGCGGCAATACAAAGATAATAATTGGCGCAGCGCACACAAACGCACACTTCCTGGTGTGGAACACATTGGACCCATCTAGGGCGCAACGAATAAAATTTCGTTAGCCTAACGCCGGAATCGGGATGCTTGTCTTTGTATATACGGAAGGCCTCTCGTATTGAGCGTGTCATGAAGCGCTTTGGCACGAGCGTTTTCTCTCCGTTGAGCATGACAGAGATGACGTCCTTCTGGTTGGGACTTTGGCGCGAACATTGTAGCTCGTCTTTCGTGAAGTACTCTAGGGCAGCAGACAGGTTCTCAGGGCTCACCTTGCACCTCGTGTAAGGATCCGGCTCATACCACACGCCATGCTTTTCCTTGAGTTTTCGGGATTTACTGATGAGGTACATTGAGGCCTGTGGAATCATCTTTTGAACCTCATTCTTCGTCAGTGTTGACGGCAGGAGTGTAAGCAGTTGACAACGTTCCCGGAGAGAGGTGGCGGTTTCAAAGGCCTGCCGAAAGTTGTCCACCCACTTAGTGCATGTGGAGCATGTTGGTTCGGACGACCCTGATGGTGCGTCCCTGTCGTACGCAATACGTAGCCTTGAGCGTATATTCTTGACAGCAACCTGCTCTGCTGTCTTCTGAAGCAAGAGAAAGCAGACAGTTCTGTCTGCTTTCTCTTGACATAGGCAGGCCTGTCCCGACTTCTTACGACGCTTGGTTGTCTCAGCGGCGACACATCTGTAGGTAGTATGCTGCGATTTAGATCTTCAATTGCTTCTTCAGCTGGCACAAATATGTCAGGGCACTGCTCTGAGCTTCGCATCGAGATCTCCTTAGTGATGTGCATGAAGCAATGGTAGCACAGGTAGTCCGTCGCACTCACTTTGGTGGAACAGTCAGGCGGAAGAATTTGCTTCAACGAGTTTAGGTCCAACTCGCCAACACTTCGAAAATTCCGCTGCTTTGGTATAGTCTTTTTGTGTTTGCAAAAGTAATCTGCACAAAACACTCGTTCGGAGCTCCAGGACGTCTTCATAATGTATACATAAATAATAGAAATTAAACCCCAACTGATGGCATATAATTGCCAAGTGAAAGAACTACTGGGTGCACAAGTGACATGTCCGAGGCTGAGGAGCTCACTCACTGCAAACGTACATTTGAAAAGAGAGGTCACAACTGAGGCTGTCGGCAAAGCTTGATCCACGTCAAAGGAAGAAAGAGAGAAAGTCTCCAGACAAAAAATTGTGGTCAGCGGCCTTCGAAAAAGACTTTCCGGAATCGCACTGTCGTCCCTCCACGCGCTGATATGAAAGCACCCGAGCTTCTACCACGTGGTTCATGACACAGCCTGAGCCATGTCGGCGACCGGTTCGCGAGGGGTTGGCGGTGGGGTTACGTTGATGGTCACTCGGATTAGCCCTTGCTGTACTGAGCTACCGCCTGCAGTGCCTTATCGCCGGCTGGTGTCAACAACGAGAACACACACACCCTGTCTACACCAAAACTACAAGTGTTCACCGCACACGCGTCGCCGCCGCTTTTAAGCTTTTGTGAAATTGCTTTCTTTTGCCGCGGAGAACCGCCTTATCTCAACTAC